TCCTAAGATTAAAAATCAGCCCTCATAGCATGAGAGTATGAATATACTAAAAATGATAATATGATGAACTGGGTGTGTTTGTGCACACCTGTAATCCCAGTGGCTCAGGAGGCTGAGGCAGGAGGATCACAAGTTCAAAGCCAGCAAAAGTAAGGTGTTAAGCAACTCGGCAAGACCCTGTCTCTAATAAAATGGATGTGGTTCAGTGGTCGAGAGCCCCTGAATTAAATCCCCAGTACCCCCCAAAATAAAAAAATAATCACACACATATAAATATAGAATGATTATACTAGAAATAGTGCTGATATATGAATCAATGTCTGGTCTTATTTTAACAAATGAGTAAAACATTTGTCTCTTGCTTTAGTGTTTTAGTTAGCATTTTCATTCCTATAACTAAAAGACCTGATAAGAATAATTAAAGAAGGAAAAGTTAATTTGGGGGTCTCACAGTTTCAGAGGTTTTCCATAGACAGCTGGCTCCATTCCTCCAGACTCAAGCTGAGGCAGAATATCATGGCAGAAGAGTGTGATGAAGTGGCTCACACGATAATTAGGAAACAAAGATTCCATTCTCTGGATACAAAATATATACCCCAAAGACAAGCCCCCAAGGACCCACCCCCAATAGCCCCACCCTATCTGCCTTCAGTTTCTATTAATTCACTGATTGGGTTAAGGCTCTCAGAACCCAATCACTTCTCCTCCTAACCTTTTTTTTTTTTTTTTCTCTTAACCTTCTTGCATTGTCTCATACATGAGATTTTGGAGGACACCTCATATCCAAACCATAACAAATAGTTTATGAGACTCTTCTTGATTCTAATGATTAAGTTCTTTTAAATATTAATTTAATTTAATAGACCCAAAGTGTGAAATATTATCTGAAGATGTTCAGTAATAATATAAAATCAGTGTGTTAAATTTGTGTTTTTTTAAACTTGTTTAAACATTTTCCCTTGGTGGGAAATGATAGTTTGAAAACTTAAACACAGACTGATAAGAATAGAAAGGATTGAGTTTGCTATCTGACTAATTCTCGTACTCCACTAGGATATGAGGCCAAACATGAACTGAGGGGACAAAGGCATACGAATGTGCTATTCATCCTAATATGAAGTGTTTTTCTTGTGCACTGCTCTAGGGGAAATTCCAGGGAAGGAGTGAGGGCAGGGGATGGGCTACTCAGTCTATCACTTTCATTCGGAGTGAGGAAAGTTAGTTTGAAAAAAACTGAAAAATTTCTTACTTTATAAAAAATCACCAAGATGGATGTCATGACCATTGGAATCAATTCAAATGTCTAATTAGCTAGAAACTTAGAGAGCACACCTGAACTGATAATAAACCTAGTCTCTCTTGGAACATGTCCAAAGTATCCCTCTATCCAATATGTAGTACTCGAAATGGATCTACCCTCATTTATTTTTTTGTATTTATTAACAAGGAAGATCTATAACCAACTGTCGCAAGGGGGCAAAATTGTGATGTATGCAGTCGAGGGGGAGAAATAAAGAATGCCCATGTGCTTCTGTCCTTTTCAATGCTTTATTCACTCAAATTACTCAATACAATTTCAGTCTATAGGTTCTTAATCAAGAAAACAACCATCCTTAATGCTAAGCACTGCAATAGACATAATCAATTCACAGCAAACAATTCTAGATTAATTCTAAGCACTGCAAACACATTTAATCATGACAGGCTAATGGCAGACACTCCCTCTGTATGCTAAGTTCAAATGTCAGATCAAAAGTCTTAAGCCTTAGTATTTAAGTCCAGCAGATGCATATTCACTCAGACCATGGAGATCAGGTCTGGAACCAGGTCTTTCCTGGKGTGGAGTGGACGACCGGTTGAGGAGAGGGTTGTAGGGAGAAGTTGTGGCTCTCACCAAGGTCCAGACGAGGCCATAGAGTTTGAGAGCCTTGAGGATCATGCTGAGGATCAGGAAAAACTATGACAAGTGATGGGATGTCAGTCCAGTTCCTCATCAGGCTTGAGTGCATCTTTGTTTTGGCTGGTTGAATCCCTGTTTATTAGCTCTACTATTTATACTAAATGTTGACCCCCCTTTCAGTCCTTATCAGCTACCACTGGATTTCTCCATGACATCATTTAACCTGAGGTCAGAAACACCTGATCTGGTGGTCTCCACCCTGATCTTCTTACCTTTCCTCTTATCAGGAGAGGACAGCCTGCCAGAGGCTTCACTCTGTTTATCAGGGTGAGAGGAAGTAACTTGTCTGAGGCTCTACTGGAGGGTTCTGTTAGGTGTGCCTAATGAGACTGGAGTTTTCAAACTGGAGTTTTTAAAATGGAGTTGCTTAGGCTCTGGCCTAAGGTCATCCTGACACCAATACTTTATTTTTCAGTCTCTTTACCTTAACAGTCCCTTCCATACCACAGATCTGCCACAAGCTTCTTGAGGGGCATACAGGTGTAGGGTGCAGGTGTTCTGGCAAGGAGGACGTGGTTGTGAAGAAGGAGGTTTGGGGTCTTCCATCTTTCTGTCCACTGAAACACCATTTCCATCTCTCTCTTCCTAACCCGTCAAGCCAGGGTATAGCATAACTATCAAGAGAATAGATGTATGATTGCTTTGAATCCCAAACTAGAGAAATATCAGAGTTCTGAACCATTTCCAGCATATTTTAATATACTCTTGGCTCCAGTCATCAGCAGACTAGCTAATTACTTGTTCACACATGCTTTGGCCAGTTTTTAACTCATTTGGTGGCTTGTAATAACTTTGGATTTTGTCCTTTGTGAGATGATAACTTAAGAATTGCATCTTTCCCATAGATTCCAATTTTAAGGCATTTGGGGATAAGTTTTATATCATGTAGGAATTGTAGGTCAAGGCAAGCAATAAGCAATAAGCTTCATGTGGCAGGTAGATTCTTTCACAGACTTGATAGAAAACATTTATCTTTTGAAGGCTTATTAGGAGGGTAAGTGTTGATTTAAGGAGATATCATCACAAAGAAGAGAGGCTTATAAGAGAAATCTATTGCGACAGCAGAAGTTTTGTTCTCATAAGTAAGCAATGCCTGAGTCAAGAGCAGAGTGTCAGACAGTGGAGAAGGCTAGTGCAATGGGGTGCTAGGAACAGAGGAGCCATATGTGCATTTAGGGAAGCACTAGCAACCCATTGTTGGTTTGTTAGGAACTACCGGAGGCTTTATGACTCTGCTGACAATAATTCTATTTGGAACACGATCTTCTTACATAAAAATATTTTTAAAGTTCTTTCTCATTAGCATAAATGGCAAGTCAAGTGGTTAGTTTTAAAAGCTGTGTCACAGTCAAATTTACCATCGCAATTCACAGTTTCCTTCTTTGTTTTACTTGGTAGATTAATCCCATCTCAGCAGTGCCATTAGGTGTCTGCTATGATGGTGTGGAAAAATACATACAGCATCTGATATTTCTGTGTGTGTAGGTCATGACAAATTTAATGTGTCCTAATAGAGCATGCATGTATAAGCAGCTGAAGATTTATAGTTGTTTTTTAACTTAAGGATGAGGAAATTGACTACTGTGGGATAATTAAAAAAAGCAAATCTATGGAAAAACAAGAGCTAAGTTGTCAAATGCTGGGGCACCAAGAGGCAATATTCTGTAATCTAAATTGGGTAATTTATATCTTTGTCACTTGAAGATCTGATACATAGTTTAGCTCATAAATCATCCCACCAACATCCCATAACTAAAGCAAATTGTGTTTCCTTTTCACAAGCAGGGTTTTAACCAATTGAATAATAAATCACCCTGCCTTTCTCAAATCACAGGATAGGCAGGATTAAGGGCAATACCAATGAAATAATGCCCCAGAGAAGAGATTCTATCCGTTTTAAAAGAATGCTAGTGAAGGAGATGGTCCAGACCACTTTGGTTATACTTTATGGTGCTGGAAACAGGTAATATCATGTGGCTGTTCTAAAAATATTTTCAATTGATCGCTGAAGAATAGTCAGAAGTCGAGAATGAATTAACTTCTTGCTAACTCCCAATATCCTAGCCAGTATCTGCTGATGGTGCTATAGTGGCAGGTATATGAAGACCTACTTTGCTCCCTWCCAAAAGAATAAATCTTATAAGCACATAAGAGTTTACAGAGAATAATCATGAGAATTTTCTCTTTTGAGTTGCCTAATAACACTGTATTATACGTAAGGATTACTAATTTCCATTTGAAAAGCAGAAATTACATTCTGAGACTTACTCAACGGTTAGATATCTAGTGAGTGGAACAATCGACACTTGAGACAAGTTACTTTTGCCTTAAGAACAGACAATGCCCTTCAGACTCTTCATTGCCACTCTGGTGTGCTTGTACAATTGGGTACTGTAAACRTGAATTAAGGTGCTTTATGGGAAATTTGTTACTAGGAGAACAAATTGAATCAATAATGTATTTGGGAATATTGTTCAATTGAGCGTATAGTCTAAACAGAGGACATGAAAATAAAATTCAATTTTGAATGGTATTGGTCAGATGGTCAATGTAAATGAATTGTCAGTGACAGAAGACTAAGAKGAAATCTATCATCCTGTACTTAGGGATATTCAGAAGACTGGATCTATATATTAGAAAAGGCAATAGACAAGGAAGCCTAAATACTCTCAAGAAGGAAACAGCCACGAGACATATTTTACCTACTTAAGATGTACTAGTCTAATGGGTGAAGTTTGATGTCCTGTTGGTAGAGGTTCTTAAGAAATCTGCTCAAATAAATAACAGTGATTTGTACTTAATACTTGATTTTGATTCAAAGGACACACGGGTATTTGAAAAAGTAGTTTCTTTTAGAGCCTAATAATATCAATTCTCTTTGCAATTTCTCTTTYCTGAAATAGTAAAAAGGTAAATTTTAGGCTGGCTTCTGTTCAAGCAATCACCCTGCCTGAGTGGAGTTTGAGGAGTCTGTAGAATGGCAATGAATTTGTCTGTTTTCTAAAGGAGAGTGATTGATTCTTCTAAAATTGTTTTACAGGATCCTTCAAACCAAAAATGTGGAGGAAGAAAGAAAACGGTATCCTTCAGCAGCATGCCATCGGAAAAGAAGATCAGCAGTGCACATGACTGCATCAGCTTCATGCAAGCCGGCTGTGAACTGAAGAAAGTCCGGCCCAATTCCCGCATCTATAACCGCTTCTTTACTCTGGACACAGACCTCCAAGCTCTTCGCTGGGAACCATCCAAGAAGGACCTTGAGAAAGCTAAGCTTGATATTTCTGCCATAAAAGAGATCAGACTGGGCAAGAACACAGAAACATTTAGGAACAATGGCCTCGCTGACCAGATTTGCGAGGACTGTGCTTTTTCTATACTCCATGGGGAGAACTATGAGTCTCTGGACTTAGTTGCCAATTCAGCAGATGTAGCAAACATCTGGGTGTCTGGGTTACGATACCTGGTTTCTCGTAGTAAGCAACCCCTTGATTTTATGGAGGGCAACCAGAACACCCCAAGGTTCATGTGGTTGAAAACGGTGTTTGAAGCGGCAGATGTTGATGGGAATGGGATTATGTTGGAAGACACCTCTGTAGAGTTAATAAAACAGCTCAACCCTACCCTGAAGGAATCCAAGATCAGGTTAAAGTTTAAAGAAATCCAGAAAAGCAAAGAAAAACTAACCACCCGAGTGACAGAAGAGGAATTTTGTGAAGCTTTTTGTGAACTTTGCACCAGGCCAGAAGTATATTTCTTACTTGTACAGATATCTAAAAACAAAGAATATTTGGATGCCAATGACCTAATGCTTTTTTTAGAAGCTGAGCAAGGAGTCGCCCATATCACTGAGGATATGTGCTTAGACATCATTAAGAGATATGAACTTTCTGAAGAGGGACGTCAAAAAGGGTTTCTTGCAATTGATGGCTTTACCCAGTATTTATTGTCACCAGAGTGTGACATTTTTGATCCTGAGCAAAAGAAGGTTGCCCAAGATATGACCCAACCCTTATCTCACTACTATATCAATGCCTCTCATAACACCTATCTCATCGAAGACCAGTTCAGGGGACCAGCTGATGTCAATGGATATGTTAGAGCTTTGAAAATGGGCTGTCGAAGTGTTGAACTGGATGTAAGTGATGGTTCAGACAATGAACCAATCCTGTGTAATAGAAACAACATGACATCACACGTCTCCTTTCGAAGTGTCATAGAGGTGATAAATAAATTTGCCTTTATTGCTTCTGAGTACCCTCTCATTCTTTGCTTGGGGAATCACTGCTCCCTACCACAGCAGAAGGTAATGGTTGAACAGATGAAAAAAGTCTTTGGCGATAAACTCTATACTGAAGCACCTTTGCCATCAGAATCCTACCTCCCATCACCAGAAAAACTAAAAAGAATGATCATTGTGAAAGGAAAGAAATTGCCTTCTGATTCCGAAGTGTTAGAAGGAGAAGTAACAGATGAAGATGAAGAAGCTGAAATGTCTCGAAGGATGTCAGTAGATTACAATGGTGAGCAGAAACAAATTTGGCTCTGTAAGGAGCTCTCTGATTTGGTATCTATTTGTAAATCTGTTCAGTACAGGGATTTTGAAGTGTCTATGAAAAGCCAAAACTATTGGGAAATTTGCTCATTTAGTGAGACAGAGGCCAGCCGAATTGCAAATGAATATCCAGAGGATTTTGTAAATTATAACAAGAAGTTCTTATCAAGAATATATCCAAGTGCCATGAGGATTGATTCCAGTAACTTGAATCCACAGGACTTTTGGAATTGTGGCTGTCAGATTGTAGCAATGAATTTTCAGACTCCAGGTCCAATGATGGATCTTCACACAGGCTGGTTTCTTCAAAATGGAGGATGTGGTTATGTTCTAAGGCCATCAGTCATGCGAGATGAAATATCTTACTTCAGTGCAAATACAAAGGGCATTGTACCTGGGGTGTCTCCTCTGGCTCTTCACATCAAGATCATCAGCGGTCAGAATTTCCCAAAGCCCAAGGGAGCTTGTGCCAAAGGGGATGTCATAGATCCCTATGTTTGTATAGAGATCCATGGAATTCCTGCAGACTGCTCTGAACAAAGAACTAAAACTGTACAGCAAAACAGTGATAACCCTATTTTCGATGAAACGTTTGAGTTTCAAGTGAACCTTCCTGAGCTAGCCATGATCCGTTTTGTTGTCCTTGATGATGACTACATTGGGGATGAGTTTATAGGACAATATACAATACCCTTTGAATGTTTGCAGCCTGGATATCGGCATGTTCCCTTGCGCTCCTTTGTGGGTGACATCATGGAGCACGTCACCCTTTTTGTCCACATAGCAATAACTAATCGAAGTGGAGGAGGAAAGGCACAGAAGCGCAGCCTTTCAGTGAGAATGGGGAAGAAAGTTCGAGAATATACTATGCTCAGGAATATCGGTCTTAAAACCATAGATGACATCTTCAAAATTGCAGTGCATCCCTTACGAGAAGCCATAGATATGAGAGAAAATATGCAGGTAGGAGAAAAATCCCAAATTCTCTTGTTCTTCCCTACTCATCCCTACTATTTTCTTACCAGTGAACATTGTGCTTTATTAATGACATGATTTGCAAAAAATAAATAAATAAATAAAATGATCACAAATGTTGTATAAGCCTGTGTACCACTAAACTATAAATACGATAAAGCAAATGTACCCTTTGTTTCTAATTATAAGTGCTCTGGTATGTCTGACTTGACCTAAGTCAGTTAATGCAGTATCAATATAGCAAATGCTGTATATATATTAAATATCTTTAGTATATAATAGAATTGATATGTGGGAATATATACAGGAAACGAGGTGAAAAATTAGAATATAAAATATGTGTAATATATTAAATATYATATATACAAACCCATAGCAATTATAAGTATATATGTAAAATATTTACAGATATGAGTATGGAAGAGAACTTGAAGTCATATAAAACAAATGAAATGCCTATTAGATTTATTGTTTCAKATGTTTAAATGTATAATAACAATAATGAATTATTTTCCACAAGAAAAAACAAACACATAACAATTCTATTATATACTAAAGATATTTAGCACTTAAACTTGTTGAAGATGGTATTAACCTTCTCTTAGAAATGTGGCTTAATTTGAAGAACATAGATTCTGGATTAAATCTATCCCTGTGATCTTAAGAAAATTATTTCAAGTCTCTGATCATCAGTTTTCTCTGTATAAGGTAAGAAAATTAGTTATGCTTATACACCAGGGTTATTTGGAGAATTAAATGAGAGTGTATAGAAATTGTCCAGCTTTAATATGAAGAAATTCAATGGATGGGTTTCCTTCTGTTCACTGATGCACATAATAAGAGAGAGTTGTGAACTTTTTTCATACTATTTAATATATTTATTCTAGGATAGTGTTATTGAGAAGCAATCAAACAACAAATACTTATAAATTACTTGCATTGTGCATAGTGAATATCATTTAATTCACTTTATTCCTTTAGCTAACATTTTGATTATAATTCTCACAAAAAATCCTTACTTCCAAGATAGCAAATAAATAAGAGGTTGAGTGATTTCGCAAATAGCACAGTTAATAAATAGCAACTTTAGACTTTAAATCTTAATACCAAAACCCATTACAATTCACATGATGTAGAACTACAAACCCATGACTCAGTGAAAACTTTATTTTTATATTACTTCACTGAGACATTCTGGGATAGGCTCAAAATAGATTTTAAATAGCCAAAGTGGTGGAAAATAATATTGTACATAAATCACATGTAAATAGTCAGATTGTGAGTATCTTACTAGAGATGGGTTGCCTTAGACATTCTTTTAAAAATAGGCTCAAAATATCAGCATCTTCTACATAACATTTTCAGACATAACTTTAATGTTATTGTAAATACTTGTATTAGATTAGTTGTGAGTAATTTCTATATRTAACCTTAAATATTAGAAGTAGATTTTATTTCTATATACTTATTAAAATATATCTTTATATAGTATATATTTAGACAATATATTAAAAAGAGTTGGTTATAAGTTTTTTTCCAATTAGTGTTGATAATTTATATATCTTAACATAAAGTATTTTGGATTAAGGGTTACCTGGAGCCTAATTGATAGAAAAAAATGAATACCATCATTGTCACTAAATTCCTGAGACAGTTAATAGGTTAGATAAATGTAACTGTTAATAAATGTAAAATAGTCATAATTTCTATTTCAAAATTGTTTTAAAAGACTGAAGCATGGACAAATGTATCTGTACATRAAATGCATTTTCTCTGTGTGTGTGTGTGTGTTCATGCATGTGTGTGCCATTCTGATGAGATGACAAAGGAATGCCATTGAYAGTCCAGGGAGGCTGTTGACCAATAACAGCTGCTACCTTGAGGGGAAAAGCCCAAAGAAGATACCATCCAGTATTCACTGACATGTTCTCCTGATAATCAAAATACAAATCAAATAAGATGTTCCTAACTATCTGGTGCTAGTTTGTGTGACCAGTCTAGTACTCATTTTGAAAAGCACCGTGCAACCTTGTCACATGCAACCTTGTCACAATCTCTTTTGCTTTTGTCACATATTTGTAGCAGATAATAAAAACTGAGAAAGATGAGGAGTATATAATGTGAATTAGCTCTGTTATCCTTGTGCATATTACATTTTTTGGTTAGTTATAATTTAGTGTGCCACAAAGTATATATGTCTTTTTATGAATATACTTGTGTGTCAACCTGGGTGGGCTGAGGGTAATGGGCCATGTGGCCAGGTGTATGATTCAATTTTTTTTTTATTCCTCATAGAATGCGATAGTGTCCATTAAGGAACTGTGTGGACTCCCTCCAACTGCCAATCTGAAGCAGTGCCTGTTAACCTTGTCCTCTCGGCTCATCACCAGTGACAATACTCCCTCAGTCTCTCTTGTGATGAAAGACAGCTTTCCATGCCTGGAGGCTCTAGGTGCAATTCCAGATGTGCAGAAAAAGATGCTGGCTGCTTATGATCAGGTAGGAAACTGTAACTCTGTATTTCTTGTCTGTGWATGAAAACTCCCTAAAGGCAGAGGTTCTTTTGAGGAACTCCAACGACTAGCACAGAGTGACTACCTTTAAAACATGGATTGAGGTGGCAACTGGAGCTGGCCAACTCACTTTTCATTAAATCATAGTAGAGACCTCTCAGAAAATTTCTTGAACCTAGAGTCCCCACCCTACCCCACATCATAAATGGAGAATCTCTGCTTTAGAAAAGAATAAAATATTTAACAAATTCTCAAAAATAATACACCCCATCATCTGAAGGACTTTAGCCTGAAATATACGATTCATTTGAATATTTATAGGAATAAATTTATGTCTCACAGCTGCCTTAYGATGGTTAGGACAAAAGACATGTGGATCTCTATTTCTGAATATTCTCTAATGAGATTCTATAGTAATATAATCTATATTCTGTCTATATTACCTGATTTTTCTGAATATATTATGAAATCTATGTTATAAGTAGATTTGAGAATAACTATGTTTTTGTGTCTCCTAAACAAAATTAAGGAGCAAATGACAAACTGGGAAAAATTTGTAACATATATTCCAAATAAAGTATAAATACACTTAAAATAAAAAAGAACACATACAAATTAATAAAAAAAGATGGGTAAAAATCTTTTGTCAATCAAGATTAAGTTCAGGCACATGAAACAAAAAAATGCAGCCCAATAAGATCTTTAAAACACAGTGTTATTCTTCCACATAACAATCTGGAGACCAATTATCCAGGGCAACATTTATAAATCTTAGGAACCCCACCTTCTAGTTTGTCATCCCACTATCCTTATGGTATAATTCTTATCCTTACAGTACAAAATGGTACTGGAGCTCCAAACATAACAWCTGCATTCCAGCCATTAGAAATGATAAGGAGAAGAAGGGCACATCTGCTTCCTGAAAGGATATTTCTTGGAAATAACAGATCTCGTTTGATTACCTTTCTTTAATCTAGAGCTGACACAAGACCACGCCTATTTGCAAGAGAGAATGGGAAATCTCCTTTCAAGGGGCTATATAGCTAAAAGTTGTGTTGATTAACACTAACTTTCCATCACTGACAAGAACAACTTAGAAGAGGAAAAGTTTATTTGGGGCTCATAGTTTCAGAGGTTCAGTCAGTCCATGGTTAGCTGACTCTTGCTCTGGGCGTGAGGTGAGGCAGAACATGATGGTGGATGGGTGTGGTAGAGAAAAGCTGCTGTCGGGGGAGGAGAGGGAGAGAGGGAGAAGGAGAAGGAGAGGGGGAGAGAGAGAGAGAAAGGGAAAGAAGAAGAAGAGAAAGAGAGGAGGAGGAGGAGGAGGAGAAGGAGGAGGAGATGACAGGAGGGAAGGGGAGGGGAGGGGAGGGGAAAGGGAGAGAGAGAAAGAAAGCCAGGGACAGGGACAGATATCATCCAAGACCATGTCCCTAAGTGATCTACTTCTTCCAGCCATGCCCCACTAGCCTATAGTTACTATTCATTAGTTCATTCAAATTATTAATCCATCAAATGGCTTAATCCATTGATGAAGTCAGAGCCCTAAACATTGCCTAAAAGCCGCACCTCTGAACCTTCCTGAATTGGGAATTATGCTTTCAAAACATGAGCTTTTCAGGGAACATTTCTAGGTCCAAACAACAGCAGTTGTCTTTTCTGTTACTGAGAAAAAGGGGAGAATTAATATTAAAGGACAACAGAGGTGAACAAGAAATCCCCCCTCCAAGAAAAAATGAAAATTTGAAACATATTTAACCTTCATCATGTTTTATCTTTGAAAGGTACATCTGATCAAAAAGCTAAGGAAATGTATGCTTCTGTCCATCTACTTCTAGTGGGAAAACAAATTGATATATATTTTTTAAAGAAACATTTGACAGTACAGTTTAAAATATTTATTTGATCTCTATATATTTTCTTTCCTTGGATTTATTCTAAGACAGTAGACATGCATAAATATTTATTTTTAATAATGTCAACATAGAAGAATTAGTTCAATAAAATATAGTAATCCATATAATGGATTCCTTTGAAGCCATCAAAATAATGTGTTTGAARAATATTTAATGATATGGAAACAACTCATAATGTGTTTTGTGAAAACCTCTGGTTACCAAAAAAATAGGCACATTGGAATTTAAATTGTATTTATATGTATGTGTTCCTAAAATGCTAGCAAGATATTAATAGTGATTATTTTTGTAGAGGAGAGAGAATTTTATTTTCTTGTTCCTGCTTTTATCTACTTTTTTGTATTCACCAAACTCTTTACAATGAAGGTGACCAATTTTATAATTGAATAGAAATAAATTTTGAGGAAGAAAAGACTAATATCTTATTATTGAAAACTAACTAGAAGAAAGACATTTGGGATAAACATTTTATAAATGAAAAAGAAAAACATCCACAGAGCACATTCTGCCCCTAAGTGCCTGACTGTATTCCAGGATTGCTGTGGGAAAAGTTCACCTATTGCCTGTATCTCATTTTTCATGAAATCAATTTTTTCATCATGAGAGTAGGGATTGAAAGCCGTTCAGTGAATAGGTATAATTGCCATCTAAGAGGTGAAATTAGGGTACTAGTTGCCATAGAGACAGACAGCAGAAATCACTTATTCTCTTGTAAGCTAAGAAAGAAAATCATTCGTTGAGAGGGGAGCCAGGCCCCTGCAGCTTGGCCTGTRAGAAGCAGAAAAGCACCTGGACTCTGGCTGGCAATTGTTGTTGCATATACCAAGTGTCTGATGGTGTTCTTTTTAGTTTTATCTGCTAAAGGCAAATCTGAATATCAGCCTTTTTCTCATCTGTAGTTTTAAAAGGCAAGTTGTATTTGCAGGCAGAGCATGATTTTCCAAAATTTAAAACAGAAGGCTACTGTGGAAAGCAAAATTACTTCTCATGAAGACTTCATTTAGGGTACTTGAGCACACGATTTCTCATTATGGTAGGGAATTGAGTGTAAATATCCCTATGCCAATGGCAACCTCAGTGTCTGGCAGAAGTGATTGAAAACACTATTAATATGTCTACTGGATATCTCTTTTTGGGGAGCCAAAGGTGGGTAGGGGGACATGCAGATAAKGATGGTATTGGCTTTGAAAGTAGGAACACCATTTTTACTTTTTAGGATTTGCACTGTATTGGTCAACATCTTTAATGCTCTCGGTGTATTAGGGTTTACATTTATTTTAAAGGGGCCTCCTAAGATACTCTATAGATCCAGGGTGATCATTTAAAAACACAGATCATTTTTCATGTTTAAAATTCTCTAGTGGCTTCACATTGAAATAAAATTAACCCCCCTAACTACGGCTCTGCAGGGTCATTTATGATCTAACCTGCTTTCTCAACCTTACCTGCTTCTTCCAGCCTCACTGCCTCTGCAGCTTCACCCCTACATGTTCTCTTCTGCTCCATTTTCACTGGCCACATTGACTTTTTTCCTTCAGTCAGTTCAAGCCTGTTCCCTTCTCTGGGACATTGTAAATGAATATTCTTCCCTTGTGTAGGTTGGTGCTTCATCTCTTGACCCTTAGCTCAAATATCATTTCCTGAGAGAAGCCTTCCCTAACTACTGTCTGCATCTGTCATTTGATTACATAGCCATGCATTTTTCCATCGTCCTTCTGAGAAGTACTGAATAAATAATAATTTGTTTGAACTTTTTTCTTGGCCTTTAAAAAAAAGTTTTCTTTTACCTTCTCTTTTACCCCTCAAATGAAATGTATACTCTATGAAGGAAGAAATTCTGATTACTACTGTTATCTCTAGCACCTAAACACTGTGGAGACATAGTATGGTTTCAATTAATATTAGTTGGAAAAAAAAAGAAGCATCTACTGCCTGTGCAAATAATGTAGTTTTCATCCTGTAATTGAATTGTTTTTATGGTTAATCATTCAATCTTTTTGTTTTGCTTCTCTGATACCACCCTTACTGAACTGTTCCCTGCTGTACATATTTGGTTAAAAATCTACAGAGTAAGGCAAAACTATGTAAACAGTAAAAAAGATCAGTAGTTGTCGAGGTCTGGGGTCAGGGGAGAGATGAATAGATAGAGCACAGAGGATTTTTTAAGGCAGTGAAATTTCTGTATGATACCATCATGGGGATACATGTCATCCCACACTTGTCAAAACCCACAGAATGTACAACACCAAGAGTCAACCCTATTGTGAACTGTGGATTTTAGCTAATAATAATGTATCAATAGTGTTTTATCAATTGTAGTAAATATACCATATTAACACAAAATATAAACCGTAGGACAAGAGTAGGGAAAGAGGTAGAGTGAGAGTTTATATGAGAGCTCTCTGCACTTTCCACTCAATTTTTATGTAACTTAAAATTTCTCGTAAAAAGTGAAGTCTAAAAAAAAAAGCACATTTTTTTTTTACTATTAATAAAAACTTATTTGAACAAATAAGGCAAAGGAAACAAAAAAACAAACAAAAAACTCCAAGACCTATTGCCTACTGGTGTGGGGCGGGGGCAGGGATTCCAAAATAAGCAGCTTGGATTTAACTTAGACTCAAGTTCCTTGAGTATTTGGATTTCTTAAAAAATGATATTGGATCACATAGATGCCATCCAAGAAGAAAAATAACACCCCAATCATAAAGTCTATGCTCATAATAAAAAAAACTTGATTTTTCTGAACAAATAAAAATGCATGATATGTTCAGCCTAGGTAGAAACAAATCAGGCAATCTAATAGCCTGTATACATTTATTTTGAAATCCAACTTGTCTGCACCAAATTATGCTAATTATCAGGGAGAAACAAATGAAAATACTCTTGAAAACATGGAGCCTGAGTTCATCTGYGAGATTTACTTTTTCTTCTAAACTTAGCTTTCTCTAGTGACCTGAGATGGTCAATATTCATTACCAAATACACATTTATTTAGTATTTGGAAATATTGCCTCAAAAAAGGTTTAAAATTTAGCCTTAAAAGTCATATTATTATTAGCATTGCAAT